TCCTCCTCCTCCTCCTCCTCCTCCTCCTCCTCCTCCTCCTCCTCCTCCTCCTCCTCCTCCTCCTCCTCCTCCTCCTCCTCCTCCTCCTCCTCCTCCTCCTCCTCCTCCTCCTCCTGGGCCTCGGCCTGTCCCACTTCCTGAGTTCATCCATCTCCCGCCCCCAACCCCCTCTCGCGGCAAGGTGACATAGGAGGTGTAGGTGCAGGCAGCTTGGCTGCAGCAAGTTTCCATCCTACGGCAAGTACGTGGACCGAAAGCTGTCAGTTTCTCGACCCTGCAAGGTAGAACAGCAACGGCTGACACGGTTCCCGCAGGATATCAAGATCGTGTGCAGAGCACAAGCTGGAAGGGGAGGTTCACCTGATTGACAACAAGCCCAAGAGGCAACCCAGAGTCGAAGTTCAAAGTGCAAACAAGACAGACATCGCTGTAAATATCCAACATAACAAGGTTTAATGAAGTCAAGACGTTTTTCCTTTTGACAGGAATGCACGTGCGGACGAGCTGGCGCCGGACGGTCCAGCAAGTCTGGCCTGCATGTCACCACCAACTTCTACTTCGCCGACAGCACAAGTGAAGCAGACAGCAACTGCATGCGGTGCACATCGGAACATGTTTCATCCCCATTCATCTCACACATCCACTACCGCCAAGTCTCCTCCTTCAAACTTCCGGAACCGCCCGGCCCACAACATCGCCACTTCCCACGTCCTTCACTGTCCCGTAGGAATAGGACTACTTGATCTGCGCCCCGTAGAAAGGAAGGCCGTCGTCCTCGTCGTCGTCGTCGTCGTTGCTCGAGGTTTCTATGTGATTCTCAGCTATAAATCCGCAGGGCAGGGCAGGGCAACAACTCACCGTCTGAGGCATAAGTGCCGTCCTCATTCAACCAGTCCCACTCCAGTCCAAGGTAGAAATTCTGTTCTCCTCTCACAACACACAACAAGGTTGAGCATGCGAAACCTGAGCGACAGCCTTCTCCAGCGCCTTCTCCAACGTCTTGGCTGTATGCACGTCAGCAACACTACCCGGTCAGTACACAGACAACCTCTTGTCCTCCTCTTCGGCCTCCATTCTCCACGAGGAATCGCCGCTAGCTCATCATTCTTGGCCAGCATCCAGTTCTACACCACCACGTAACTCCAAGGCATGCACTTGGCGCTCTGCTCTGCCCACCAAGAGGTCTTCCTCCGTCTTGAAGCCGTAACGAGCCACCACGTTCGCCTGGACCATCCTCATCAGCTCCGCCTTCCGCACATGAGCAGGTCCTGCCTGGAACAGTTCGTCTCGAAGGTTGTCGATGTTCATGTGAGGCGTTCGGCATGCCGACGATGGCTGGAGTGCGAGCCCAGCAGGAGACGAGTCACGTGGGGGGAGGGAGGAGCACAGGTACCCGCACCTTGAACATGGCGCTGTACCTCTGCCTCAGTTTCTCAGAAGCCCCGTCGATGATCTTCTTCGTTTGCACTGGCACCTTGGCCTACACGAACCCTCAGCATCCCCGCATGACGGTAAATGCCGAGGGCCTCCCAACCTGCGGCAGATCCACTAGCTTGCACGGCTCTGCCTTGTTAATCTCTGTGAAGACCTCCGCTGCCTGTCAGGGTCCAGGGAACGAGTCAACTTGTGCTCGGGCATCAAAGATATATGACCATGTTCTCATTATCGGCAGGATACACTTCCACAAGAATCTCCGTCATCCCCTGCCCAGACCTTAGCATCCTCCACGCCCTTGCGATCGCTGTCCATCCTCGCAAATTTCGCTTACCAGGGGAAGCGGTCGGTCGGGATTTTGAGACTTCATCTGGCGGGCCAAGAGAGTGTGCGCGCCGAGCCTGAGCATGTGTAAGGATATCACAGAGCATGGTGATACGCCGGAAGAAGGAAAGGGGTGGGTAGAAAAGAACAATAGGAGAGCGTGAGAAGGAGTAATAAGGAGAGTCGATGATACCTGTGCTGTCCATCAACCAGCACTGCCTGCCCTTTGCCTGTATATTCCACGACACTGATGGTGCCTGAGATGCAGGTTTACACATTTCCCCCTTGCAGAGAAGGGTCGGAGGACACCTGGCCATCCAGTCACGCTGCTCTTGGCCTTAGCCCTTGCAATGGAGGACGCTCGCTCTGTTCGGAAGGTACGCTGGAGGACACGTCAACATGGAGCATCACAAGTCCTCGAGTCCCACCTGCTTCTTGTAGATCGGTGTCGATGTGTACAGCTTCGAAGGATCTGCAGCAAACACCTTCTTGTAGCCTGGCAGCCATGACAAGTCAGCCTCACTAGAGAGGTCTACTGCTGTATATCTGTCTGACCGAAGTCTGCAAGAAATCTGCCGAAGATGGGGTGATCGGCCTGTTCAGCTGGTGGCAAGTCTCAGGATTCGCATCACGATGCAAGTCCTGTGTTACTATTCAACGGCTTCTCCAACGCTTGAATGTCGGCTCCGGTAACTTTTTCTGCAAGGAGAGAGTTCAACGGACAGGCAAACACAGTGAGAAGAAGATCGCATCGAGGCCACCTTTCAAAGAAGTCACTTGCTCCTCAAGCTCTGTCACCTCAGAGGCTGCCATGATCAGCTGATACTCCAAATCACGCACTTGGTTCGAGTAGGCGTTCAGCTGCAAAAGAAGTCAGCCTCCAACAACAGAGCATCCTGGTATGGTCTCACCTCCTTCTGACGCTTGCGAGCATCCTCCAACGCCTTGCTCTCTATCTCTGATACTTCTCGCTTGTTCTTCTCGATGACTCCATTGATCGTCTTCATAACAGCAGCATACTCTTGTTCTCCCAGCATCGACTTCAACTCGTCCAAGCTGGGCCCAGCAATACCTTTACTCAGAATGTCCCCCATCGAACCCAGATTCTTCATGACTTGATCAAAGACACAGACTGTGGTCAGAGCTCCACGAGCTCTCCTCCCTGCTCGTGGTCCAAGGGGAGACGCCCCAAGCGGCAGGCCACGATTGTGTGCGGCCCCAGGGAAAGGATTGCTGCGGTCAATCGACTTGGAAGAGGAAATGGTATGAGAAACGAACGGAACAACGAAGGAGCTTGAGGATGCGATGAAGGACAAGCACAAAATCGAGGTCATCATGCGAGCCCCGCTAGCCCTTCTCCTCCCTCTTCCTCCCTGTGCCGCCGCCATTCCTCGCCTCCTACCCCACACCTCTGACCACCCCCGTGTTTTGTTGTCTTGCACCCAAAGGACCCCTTCCTCAAAACCTCGGACCCACCCCATCTCCATATACCCCGAAGCCTGCGAACTACCCCACCGATGTCCTCATGTCGACTACCCCCGACTGCCATGATCAGAAATATTACTCAAAGTGTAAAACTTTTTAACTCTTTTTTTTTTAAAAAAGAGGTTGTCCTGTAAAACCTGAACGTGAGGCGGGCACAGTATGGGTGATCCGAGTCCGGGCCGAGCGCTCCGCCGCCGCTGATCATCGGGACATGATGATGACTCGCCAGACGGCCGCCGATGGCCCATCGGCAGAGTGGCACTACACAATGACTTTGTCGTCAGCTTCTAGTACAACTTGAAACGCCACTGAGCCGACGGTGGCATGGCATGACGGTGCCAGGCTCAGACGGCGTCGGACTTCGGGCCGGCCGCGGCGAGGCCCGGTGCCGGGACGGCAATGGCTCATCGGGAGTCCCCGGCATGTCTCGGATGCGGAGGCTCATAACTTGAACACAGTGCACCTGGCGGGCATTTCAAATTTGGGTCAAATTTATTTGACTTCAGGGAAAGTTTGGTCCTTGTAATTAAAACTTCAAATTTTGAAACAAATATTAGAGACTCGTTATTCGGATCGGTTGCGGAAGGAGTTTTGAACTTCAGTGTGAAAAGAAAAAGAGTGGACAAGATGGACTCTGCTGAGAAGGGTCAAGGAAAAGCTTTTGATTTGCACCGGTGCTGATTCAATTTTTGAGACGGTAGTAGGGGTGGGGTACATATGATTTGAACAAAATAAGGGTAGGGTGTATTAGATAAGAAATGATTCATCGATAGAAACGATATCATATATTCTTATATTAATTAAAATGAGCTATCTCATCAGTATATCATCCAGAAGAGACTTTCACCTGGAATTGTAGGGGTGGTACTTCATCGGATTCTTCTGGAAGCTAATGTTGTGGTGGGGTGTGCGGTGAGAGGTGGGGTACTTTGTCAATTTGTTTTTTTGTTGAGAGTGGGAAAGCCACGTGGCCGAAGCGGACTGTCGAAATGGTAAGCTCATGCCGTGTAGAGGAAGGGCGGACACATTGAAAAATGAACACGAGACAAGCTTGAGTTTTGGTAGAGGAGTTTGAGGGATGTATATGCCATGACATGGATCGAACGTGTTGTTTTCTGTTGTTGATTTTCAACTGTCACGTTGTTGTGAACGTTGGACAGTATCACATATTGCTGTGAGAGCTGATCACTTAGACCTTGAACCAAGCACTGGAATATAAAATCTCCCAATGCACATAGGAACATAATTTGACTCTTGATAACATCAGATGCATGATTTTCTTTTGTGATATTTCGAATCACGTGGTGATTGTAAGCTCTGTACTGTTCATGTCCCTGCTGTTGAAGTTCCAACTGAAGGAACATACAATATGTGTGAAATGTGCAAACCGATTTAAGCGCGAAGTTTCTGGTTGAGATTATTGCGATTGTGCTGATGTAGGACTTCCTTGTATCACAGGCATCGGGAGTTGGTGTAGCAGATGACTGCGTCAGCGTCTTCAACGACCTGAAGCTTAAGCATAGCATGAAATACATCGTGTACAACATGAATGATAAGATGACGGAGATCCAAGTTATGAAGACTGGAGGCAAGGAGGCGACCTACGAGGAGTTCTTGAAGGAACTGCCCGAGAACGACTGCAGATATGGCGTGTTCGACGTAGAGTACACTGATCCTAAGACCAAGGCAAGCCGCAATAAGATAGCGTTTTTCATCTGGTAGGTGTTGGAGTGCTTGCAAGAGGAGCGTGTTGACAACTGTGCTCCCTTCAGGTGCCCTGACACCGCCAAGGTTCGCACGAAGATGATCTTCGCGTCATCAAAGGACGAGCTGAAGAAGCGACTTGTGGGCATTGCATGCGAGGTTCAGGGTTCGGATGCTGGTGACGTTGCTTTGGAAACTGTGAGTCATTGGAGACGTGCCCAACACGTCTCTCCCTTCATGGCTGATCATTCTACAGGTTGTTGATCGGCTACAGCAGATTTAAGTTTGTTTCGAAGGCTTGTTTCATGTGTCGAAACCTTCTTGGGACGTTAGATGCCAGGGGAGCAGGTTATCCTCAACAGATCTTTGTTCCTTCTACAAGGATGTGCTGTATCCTGCAATGGATTGCAATGTGCTATAGCGTGCAAATTGCTGCCCTCCTACCTTGAACGGCGACGTTGAAATGAGCAGGGCGGTTGTGTCGATACTTGGATTTAGAAAATACTTGTTGGAACCTCTGAAAAATGACAATTAATTTTCATGAAAATACACATGATCAGAGTGTCTTGATTATTCTACCTCCACTATGTGCTTGACCCCAAGAGCTCCAGGGAAAGTGCTTGCACTCCAATTGCATCAAAGCGCATGAGGCACAGATCGGATGTCTCCTCCTCCTCCTCCTCTCCTCCTCCTCCTCCTCCTCCTCCTCCTCCTCTCCTCCTCCTCTCCTCTCCCCCTTCTCCTCTCCCCCTCCTCCTCTCCTCCTCCTCCTCTTTCTTCACTCCAGGATTTTCAAAGTTGAAAAAAGTTGTCAAGCCGAATCATACCGGTGGTGGATGTGAAGTACCCCTAGTATATACTATTTATGTACCCCTGTTCACAATAAAATCACCCTACCCCGCAGATTGCCCCCCCGCCTCCTGGTCTCGCAAACATCCCAGGAATGGCGAGCCATCAGAGCTTGGGGCATTGCGGAACGGCGGAGGCGGCAGAGGAGGAGGAGGAGGAGGAGGAGGAGGCGAATGAGAAGGAGGATACAAGACTGATAATGCATTGGACCGACATGGAAGTGGAAGAGAAGAATCTATTCCCCCGCCTCCGAAGGATAAAGCATGCCTTGCAGGCCGCGATGATCGAGTCTTCCTCCTGGGAAGAAGAAGAGGAGCTTGTGGGAGTGAAGTTTCCTGGACAAGCGCAGCTGAAAGATGGGCTGGACAAGGAGGAGGTGGAGACTCTGAGATCCATGTTAGAGGTCATGAAGGAGTTGGACAAACTGCACAGGCAGAGCATGCGGGCGAACTCGAGGAGGAGAAGCATCTGCGCGTCTTTGGATCAATGCCGCCATGAGAGCGTGGACAGCGTGAGACACTTCAGGACAGCCATGCAGGACATGATCCGCAAGCATGAGAAGTGGTGCTCCACCTGGAACTTGTGCAGGGGCGAGGTCACGAGGGCGGTGGAAGGAGAGGTCCAACAACAGGTGCGAGCATGCTTGCTTGTTGTTGGCACCTGCACTCAAGTAGCGCCATGCAGGTGACATACCGGCTGCTCCAACAGAACGTCGTCAGCATTCCGAGCCATTACAGTAAGATCCTCCGCAAAGACGTTATGTGCCTGCTCGCCGACCTTGAAGGTGGGCGGTGACGGATTGGGTTGTCGCAGGGCAGTGACGGGGATGTCAGATGTGAGCAGGCGGAACTTGTGCAGGTGGCAGAGGACGTTCTCAGCTGTTGACGTCGAGGGCTACAGGAACTTGTGCTTGTTCTCACCCAGCGTGCATGTCGACGGGCAGCTCAGGTTGGTAGCCACGATGAGACGCCTCCACCGCATGCAAGGGACAGGCTCTTGCTACCTGACCTTCTCCTGCTGGGCTTCTCACATGTCAAGGATCAAACTTGAGAGATCGTGTCGCAATCGCTTGCAGCGAGTTGTGTCTTGCTCAAGAGCAAGGCGGTTCTTACAAACATGGAGAGCGGCTGTAGAGGACATAAGTCATGAGAGGAGGCACCTCTGCCTAAAGTTTGCAGACTGCTCTGAACAAATCCATCAGTCTGCCCATAAAGACTCTGTGACGAAGATCTTCTTTCATGTCTGGTGCATGCAGAGAAGAAACTCCCTTGTTGCTGATCGGCTCCTGTTGCGTTTCTGTCTCTGGAGACATGTCAAGTTTCTGAGTTCCCTTTTCTGGCGATGGGCATCGTCAACCGGTGACTTGTCAATCTAGCGTAAAACTCGTTTGACAAGCTGAGAACAGGCAAGAACCACTACCTGTACAGCACTCTGTTCTTTGCTTCCCGTGCGTTGGAGCTGAGAATGAAAATCCGCGCGACGTGTACATGGAGGCATGTGTGCGAGGGGGCGAGGAGGCAGCGGGCAGCTGCCGAGGAGGAGAATGTCTGCCCGAATGAGATCGTGAGAGGTGAAGACAAGCAGTGTGGGAGGAGCTCGTGTGAGATGGACAAACAGACGACAAGCCGCGGAGCAGGAGGCGCGATTTCTTGTCACTCCTGACCGAGCTCCAGGTGAACTGACTTCTTTCTTCACCCCCCCCCGGCCCTGGCGCGCGCAACTTTGGAAGTGATCGGGGGAACTTGTTCAGGGGATCAAAAACGAGCTTGCCGAGCAACAGAGCAGAGCTGAACGTCTGAAGCGACGAAGGGACGGGTTAACGGCTATCACCACGATGACGGTCCATCCTTCGACCTCCCAGCCGTCCCTTTCGCCACCTCCGGCTCAACCTCTTTTCCAATCTCTCTCCTAAACCCTCCTCTTGCTTGTTCCGCCGCTTCTCCTCTCCCCCCTCAAACCAGCCTGACGGCATGACAGGGTCGCCCAGGAGTTCCAGAGGAGAAAATGGTCATGAGCAACTTTGTTGATATGGCCTGCGACGAGGCTGTCAAACTTTTCTTATGGTCTCTTCCTCCTCCCCCTTGACCTTTTCTCCCCGTTGACTTGAAGATCCAGCGGACAGGAGGGACCCTCTTCAGGCGGCGTGGACAACGGCGACGAGCTCAGGAGGGAGCTGGAGCAGTGCTGTGCCCAGCGGTCAACCCTGCAGCAGCAGAACGAGGAAGCAACTCTCTTCATCGCTGCTTGCCGTGCTGATGCCCTTCCTGTCTTGCGTGCAGGTGCTGAAGGAGGAGGTGAAATCCTTGCAGACGTCGTCGAGGCAATTTGCCGACGAGATTCAAAGGCAGAACCTGATCATCGCCGAGGTGCTTTGTGGTTTCCTGCTCCTCTTGCTCTTCCCTTTTCCTTCCTTCTCTTCATCCTGCTGCTGCTGCTACTGCATTCTCCCCTCTGCTCCTCCATTCTTCATCCTCCCCCTCTTCCACCTCTACATGTGTTGAAGTCATTGACGTCTTTGACATCTCCCTTGCAGACGGAAGGCGCGATGCTGCGGAGGAATGAGAAGTTCGAACAATACTGCCAACAGATCATTGAGCAAAACAGGGCACTCAGCGATCAAGTAGCTGAAATGAAGATGGTCATAGTGCCTCCTCCCTTCCTCTCCATGTCTCCCTTGCTGGCCCCGGCTCATCATCACAACATTTTCACAAGCCATCCCTTTCTCGTCCTCCCCTCCCCTCCCCTCCCCTCCCCCCCCTGTCTCTTCCCCTCCCTTGCCTTCCCTTCCGTCCCCTTCCCTTCCCTCCCTTCTCTTCCCCTCTCTTCCCCTCCTCTACTTTTCCCTTTTCTCCCCTTTTCGATGTGACTTGTCGGCCTGCAGGAGCTTAAAGGCAAAGAGGACGTCATCGTCCAGCTTCGCCAGGAGTCCGAGAAGATCTACGTGATCCTCCTCACCTTACCTGCTGATTTCTTTCTTCCTCCTCACCAACTCCGCGCAGTCTGATGCCGACAGCCTGCATGTAGAGTGCGTCAACCTGGCTCAGGTTCCTCTCCCTCCTCCTCCCCCTCTCCCCCTCATCTCCTCATCTCCTCCTCTCCTCCTTCCGTTCCCCTCCCCCCTTCGTCTCCTTCTATCCAGGCCCTCTCCTCACTTTCCCCCATTCCTCCTCTGCCTCCTGCCATCATCACGATCTTCATGTAATGACTACTCCGATAGGAGCTCTCCAAGGCTAAACAAGAACTAGATTCCTTCAAGTCTCATTCTAAAATCTCACTTTTCCTTCTCCAACTTCAGTTTCTCATCTCCACCGCTCCTCCCCTCCCCTCCCTTACACCCTCGTCTTTCTCTCCTGTACCCTCTAAATGGCTCTTCTGTTCCTGCCCTCCTCCTCCCTCCTCCCTCCTTCCTTCCTCCTCTTCAGTGATTTCCCCTCAGGTCCTCAAGCTCTAAAGACCGTCTGGCACTTGAGATTCGCAATGAATCCCTCCAGCTTCAGGTTCTCCTCCCCTCGCAACTATCCCTCAGCTTCACGCATCCCTCCTTCCTCCTCCTCCTCTTCCTCCTCCTCCTCCCCCTTCTTCTTCCTCTTCCTCGCTCTCTGCCTCCTTCCTCTGACATGCCTCCTTCAGATTCACGATCTGGAGAGCAACCTCTCTCGCAGCCAGCAATCCTGGTCCCAGGAGCGCGGGAAGCTGCAGGAGGAGATCGAGAAGAACAGGAGCCCGTCCAAAGCCGACTATGCTGCCATGCAGACCATGTAACACTCCCTTCCTCCTCCACCCCTCGTGCATCCTCCCTCGTGCATCCTCCCATCCACCACCACCACCACCACCACCACCACCACTTTATCTCCTCCTCTGCCTCCTTGCCGATCTTGATGCATATCAGAATGTGAAGACCTCCCTCCTCGCTCCTCATCGATTCGTTTCCTCCCACTTCCTGTGTCTTCCTTCCCTCTGCCTCTCGCTGTCCACCCCGTGCCGTCCTCAGCGAACCGTTAGGTACTGGAAGAGCAAGAGGACAAGAGATGTCGTAAAGGAGCGGGACGATGCTCTCCTCAGGATCCAGGAGCTCACCAGCGAGCTGCAGTGAGGAGTTGTGGGAGCACGAGGAGGGTGGGGAGTGGGGAGCTGCAGCAAGACGGCGGGAGAGGAGGAGGGGCGGAAGAGGAGGAGGAGAATAGGACTGACCATAGCAGCAGGAGCATCAAGGATCAAAGTACCTCGAAGCTCCACACTGACACTTTCTCTCAATTCCTGCAGAGACGGGAGGAGAGGTATTCCCTCAACGCAGTACCCACTCATCCACTCCTGCCCCCTCCTCTCCCTCGCTCAGCTGTCTCCCTTGACCATCCCCTTCCCATTTCTCACTCCTCTTCCCTCCCCTCCCCTGATCCCCTGAACTGCATCTCACAGCGACCTTGACGATTCTGGAACAACTTCCTCCGCAATCCTAGCGGCGCAACTGCAGGAGGACTCGTTCCTAGACGAGTCTGCAGTGATCATCTGACGCGCATTAGGGTAACAAGGTTTCTCTCATCACCGCCGCAAGTCTCAGGACGCACTTCAATGCCCGTGAATGAAAATAAAGCATGCCGATGAAAATCTCTCTTGGAGATCTCAAGGACAAGAAAGAATATGAGTTACTACTCCAAACCTCCTCTCAGAGCCTTGGGCTTGAAGCTCCGAAGCTGCGCTCCAACACTGATAACCCCCTCCTCCTCTCCAGGCAGAGTTTACAAGGTTGGAACGGCTCTCCCGGATATCTGGCACGTCAAACGTTAGAACAACTCAGCTGTCACCATGATGGGGAGGACAAGGGTGGAGGAAAGAACAAATGAGATCAAGTGAAGAGTGTCTAAGAAAGACACTCACTCGATCCCCATGCTACAAGAGAATTCCATTAGCCTATGCACGATCACCCATCCATCTTTGCACTTGGAGCAGAGATCCTCCACAAACACTTCCTCCTCAAACAAACTTGTTTGCCGCCTTGACTCCCCTGCAGCAGCCTGCAGCAGAGGTCACCACGCTCCTCCTCATCATACCAGCTTCCTGTAAACACACCTTCTTCTTCGACTCGCTCCTCCTGCTGTCTGACTTGCCGGCCCTGCTCGTAAAACTTTTGGCAAGCGACCCGAACTCCGCCAAAAGAGCAGCGAGGAGGGACATGGGCGACCCGTCACTGCTCTCGATGCATTTCTGCAGCGGGCTCTTGGCAGCATCTACAGCATAGGAGAATGCAGCATACGCCACACACAAGCCTGACAAGCGGACGAACACAGACAATCCGCTCGACATTATTCAAACCCACACCCGCGCCTACTCCCCACAAGTTGAAGCAAACAACAACTCAAATCTTCCAACTCGCTTGTTCGAAGAACAACAGCCACTGCTACATCAACACCTGTGACATGATAGTTATTTTCGACCCTTGATCAGGCTTTTCAGGTTAGTCGACTACACAAAATTCACAACTAATACAAATAACACTTCAGATATTTATCGTCTTTCCATGTCATATTCCTGATCTGAGTGTTCGAATACAGCTATGCCAAGAGGATTTAGAACAATATGATATATCGGTCATATATACAGTATTCAATGACTTCTACTACTTCCTCAGAAAATTTGCACCAGCTCTTTGGACGATACCACTACCTTTAAAATATGTGATTGGATCGGTCAAAATCTACGAGATATCATTCTGGTGTGTGTGTTTTGGACACTTTATCTATCTTCTGATTCACCCATCTCCTTTCCCCTCTTCTTCTTCTCCCTTCTCCGCATCTCTGCCAGTCTCCGCTTCCATCAATCTGCTTGCCGGCATGGCATGACGGCAGCTGTCGTTATACCGACCACCCTACCCTGCATTGCCAATGCTACCCCACCTCTGATATTGGGTACCCCACCCACTGACATCCCTTTCCATTCTCAACATACCTCAGCATCCATGAAAAGGTGGTAGATTTATAATTTCTTAAGAAGGAAAATAACCTATACCCCCAATCCTCGCGTCTTTGATTGACCCCAACACTACCCCCACCTCATTTTTCATAGCAGTTGGGTGAAAGAATCCTTGAGGACCCCGTCCATAATGGTTTAATTATAATAATAGGCACAGTGATTTTTAACTTAACTTTGAGTAAAGAAGATACCGTACCGGCGCTGCCAGGCTGTCCGATCGGATCACACCGTCACGGTCACCGTACTGAGTGCCCGCACTGAGCCACGGAGTGGCGGCGACAGTGTCATCGGAGTCCGAGCCTCGCCGGGGCCACGGGACTGTCAGCCGGGCACCGTCCACGGTGAGTATCGCGGCGGGCCCCCGACGTTGCACTGTCAGTGACAACTACAGCCGGCCACCTGTAGTATGAGCCGGGGCCGCGGCCCGCCCGGCCCCCGGGCCCCCGGCGCCGGGGCCGGCCAGCGACGATTCCGGCCCGGTACTGGGTCATCACTGGGTCATGTCGGCCCAGTCCGAGGCTTCGCTGTTTCCGAAGTTCGCTCGGAACGGTCTGGTCGAGTCTTTTTTTTGAGCAGCAAATTAACTTTGAGTAAAGGGACTAATCATAGAGGCGGTAGCCACCCGTACCCGCTCCAGGCTGAGGCTCGGAGTCGGGTATGCCATATGATGGTAGGGGTAGTCTGTGACCCATAGAAGAAAACTCCGACCCAGTTCATTTTCTTTTAAAATCAAAAGATTTGTAAAGCCAATTCATGAGGTAACATTTCAACTTTCAAACAAGGAGTAGCGCAATAAAATTGCAGTGCAAAACGAATAAGCGGTAATGTGGGGTGGTCCCTGCTGCTCTCCTCCCTCCTCCGCCTCCACATGAAATCTGCCATTCCGACATCACCTTAAGCACCATAGCTCTTCAAGCACCCAGGCTCTTTCAGCGCTCCCTCCCCTCCCACCTGCCTACCCGCTGACAGATCCCCAAGCTCTCACCAACCATCAACCGTGTGGCTCCCCCGGCAATGTCCCAGCAATGCGTGATGGACTGGTCGTCCGCGGGGTCTTCCTCCCCATCACAGAGCGAGGCTGAGATCTCAGCAGCGGCCGATGAAGAGGCTTGGAACTACTCCCTCTTTGACTTCATCCTCGCTCATGACGCAGCCTCTTCCTTCGACGCCAACGTTTCCTTCGCCCCGGTCAAGCGAGTGCCCAAGGTGCAACCGCACGCCTCCAAGCGCTGGTCGACCCTCGAGCATCAGCGCTTCCTTGTTGCCCTGGACATGTACCATGTCCCCGGGAGGGAGGGTCAAGCGCGAGGAGAGGAGCATGGGTCTGGTCTTGGGCGAGGAGCAGCGAAGAAGATATCTGACTTCGTGCAGACACGATCGGAGGCGCAGGTACGATCACACGCTCAGAAGTACTTTGCTCAGCGCAGGAACCGGAGCTAGGAGTCAGAGCCTTCAACTCTCAGTCTAGAATGCTCACTGTGTGGGGAGACTGCTGGTAAAGAATGTCACGAGTCGCGAGTGTAATAAGGACTGCAATGAAGATGCCAGACATGAAAACACACATTAGCTTTCACTTTGCTATGGGACTCTCACACTGAGCCTAGCACAAGACATGCTTCTTGTATGCTTTCCGCCAACAGGTCATTTGTTTTCATGATGCTTGCTGATATCGCCTCGGCTAGTGGCAAGTTAAATCCGATCGCCGCTCCATGTCTAACTTTGCACCATAGTCCAAGCGCTGCTAGCCAGGTCATGGTTTCAAGTCCTCATGCTGTAAAGTCTTATCATCATCTCGCCTACTGCTGAGAGGCATCCTTTGCGACAGGATGGGCAACAGCAAGACCTTGGGAGAAACGTTACCCGTACCTACGTCTCTGAGCATGAGGGGAAGGCTAACCCATCGAAGGATCAAGGCATGTTGGGTAAACAGGGGGGTGCTAGAAGGATTATGTAGGGGTACGGTGACGAACCCAGAAGTTAATTCCGTGTACTACCTTCGGAACACGGCCTGAATTCGGAATACAGGTATTCACCACATCAAATGTTTCTGTAATATTTCAACTTCACAGCAGAGAATGGCAGGCTTTTCAAGCGAAAAGCAATTACGGTACAAATCGAGCCTGTGTTGTCACGTAAAGTAACATGGTGGGGTGGGGTATCCCGGGCGGCCCTCCTTGGAAGACAAAGCACATTCCCCTGTCTCCTGTCCTCCTCCCTCTCCCTCCGTTCTTCTTCGTCCTCCTTCTCCCTCCCATTCTCCTTCGTCCTCCTCCCTCTTCTAGATTTTTTGCCCTCTCTCCAACAGATCAACTCTGACCTCGAGCCCGTTGGCAGTTCGCTACATTCGATCCCAAGCACTCCCTCCCCTCCCACCTGCCTGCCCGCTGACAGATCCCCAAGCTCTCACCAACCATCAACCGTGTGGCTCCCCCGGCAATGTCCCAGCAATGCGTGATGGACTGGTCGTCCGCGGGGTCTTCCTCCCCATCACAGAGCGAGGCTGAGATCTCAGCAGCGGCCGATGAAGAGGCTTGGAACTACTCCCTCTTTGACTTCATCCTCGCTCATGACGCAGCCTCTTCCTTCGACGCCAACGTTTCCTTCGCCCCGGTCAAGCGAGCGCCCAAGGTGCAACCACACGCCTCCAAGCGCTGGTCGACCCTCGAGCATCAGCGCTTCCTTGTTGCCCTGGACATGTACCATGTCCCCGGGAGGGAGGGTCAAGCGCGAGGAGAGGAGCATGGGTCCGGTCTTGGGCGAGGAGCAGCGAAGAAGATATCTGACTTCGTGCAGACACGATCGGAGGCGCAGGTACGATCACACGCTCAGAAGTACTTTGCTCAGCGCAGGAACCGGAGCTAGGAGTCAGAGCCTTCAACTCTGGATTGCTCACCGTGTGGGGAGACTGCTGGTAAAGAATGTCACGAGTCACGAGTGTAATAAGGACGGCAGTGAAGATGCCAGACATGAAAACACACATTAGCTTTCACTGTGCTATGGGACTCTCACACTGAGCCTAGCACAAGACATGCTTCTTGTATGCTTTCCGCCAACAGGTCATTTGTTTTCATGATGCTTGCTGATATCGCCTCGGCTAGTGGGGAGTTCAATCGCGGCTCCAAGGTTCAGAAACAGCCTATGTCGAGGAGGTTTTCCGATTCCCTCAAGCGAGGCTCAATGGTGTTTTTGACTCTCATATTGCATGATTAGAGAATACAAGGACAGACAATCGATGGAGAAATGATTTCCCTACCGTTATGCATTATCTGAAATGATTTCCCTATGTTATGCATTATTTGAAATGATTTCCCTATGTTATGCATTATTTGAATTGATTTCCCTATGTTATGCATTGTTTGGTTTGTCAGGAACAAACAGCATACTGAGAACAATTGCGATCTATCTTCCTTCCATCGCCACCGGATGAATTTTCGCCAAGTCCAATTTATAGTTTGAACTATAAACCTGACAGAAAACAAACGTGTAGTACTTTGAATCCTACCTAGATCCCATAGCTCACTCTACTTCTAGAAGTACCGAATACTCGGGACATCTCATGGGCATGGATCGATTCACCAGCCTCGCCGCCATCTTCGCCGTCGCCTGCGCCGCCGCCTGCGCCGTCGCCTGCTCCCCCTGGCCAGTAGCATCAGCGAGGTCGTCTTGTATTCCACGCTCAGTCGTACTGGGATATCAAGACCAGTGACACCCTTATGCAGGTCGCGCCCCCGGAGGCTACCCTTGGTCAGGCTTCGCGGCGGGTCCGAGGCTTCCTCGCTGCCTGCCGACCTCTTGGAACGCCTGAGCTTTTACAAAGACATTGTACAACGAGCTGATAGAGGGGAGGATGGAAAGATGATGACTGTGCTGTATGCAAGAGAACTCCAGGAGATTGCTAGGCTGACCGAAGAAAAGGAGGCTATCTATCAAGAGAAGCGCAATGAGATTGCTAGGCTGACCGAAGAAAAGGAGGCTATCTATCAAGAGAAGCGCAATGAGATTGCTAGGCTGACCGAAGAAAAGGAGGCTATCTATCAAGAGAAGCGCAATGAGATTGCTAGGCTGACCGAAGAAAAGGAGGCTATCTATCAAGAGAAGCGCAATGAGATTGCTAGGCTGACCGAAGAAAAGGAGGCTATCTATCAAGAGAAGCGCAATGAGATTGCTAGGCTGACCGAAGAAAAGGAGGCTATCTATCAAGAGAAGCGCAATGAGATTGCTAGGCTGACCGAAGAAAAGGAGGCTATCTATCAAGAGAAGCGCAATGAGATTGCTAGGCTGACCGAAGAAAAGGAGGCTATCTATCAAGAGAAGCGCAATGAGATTGCTAGGCTGACCGAAGAAAAGGAGGCTATCTATCAAGAGAAAGACGAGGACCAGAAATGGCGTGAGGAGGTCTACTCAACAATTTTGGCTCAATACTCTGAAAAATTAGTCTGCCTCGCTGCAGAACGCGCTGCAACTCTGAACAATAGGGCTTTGATCGAGATTGGCATGCAGAGAACTTACGGCAACATGGGCATGAGCCAAGGCATCAGCAAGACTGTAAATAATCACCTGCTGATGGGCAACGACTTGTCAAGTCTGAGCAATCATTCAAAACAAGTGTGCCAGGATCTGGCCCAGTACGACTTTGATCTAGATGAAAGATCAGTTGCAATAGAACTGTCGGCGCTGAAGCACGAGATCTCAAAATCGCTCCACAGAAAAGCCTTTCTGCCAAACGAACCGCAAGGGTACTATGTAGGAGGGCCGCCACCTTTGGCACAGGCAGTCGCTTGCATGATCACGTATCTTCAGAAAGAAGACCTGATATCGGATGACCTGGAGGTCTATCTGATCGATGCATCAAAGAAGCCGAGATGTCAACTTCACAAAGGTAAGGTTTTACCACTCAGTGCCTGATGGCCCCAGTGAAGACTCGCAGCCGGAAAAGAGTGGGACGACTCAGTGTGATCGGTAAAGAGTGGGACGACTCAGTGTGATCGGTGCATGTGTGCCCGATCCCTTTGGGTGACCGTGGCCGGCCCAAGTACTAAGATGATCCGATCCATTACTCTGGACCCCATATGTTGCAAGTCTGCATTACGTCCAAGCATTCAACAAGATGAAAGCGAACGGTCTAGTCACAAGCTCAAGCAACTTGAAGAATCCTGCGGGTATTATTCGGATCAGCAATCTAGCTGTGGTTGTCCCCGGGTGTGCCGGTTACAGCAAGGCTCCCTTCGAAGGCAAGAACCTAGCATCCAGCCAGTTCCTTTCCAAGATCAACATTGACGAAGACTTTGGGAGGGAGCTTATCATTCATGGGTTTGATAAGCATAACTCGAACAACAACGAGTACCGCGAAGACTTCAGGCCCGACGTATGCGCTTTGGTCAGGACCGGGTGTACATTGAAGCTCATGGTTGGTGCACATACAAGATCTCAAAGGTCAGCCTTGTCAACAACTGCCTTGCGTCTTTCATGCAATACAAAGTAACATGGTAGTGTCAGTGGTAGGGTAGGGTATCTGGGGCGGCCCTCCTTGGAAGACAAAGCACATTCCCCTGTCTCCTCCTCCTCCCTCTCCCTCCGTTCTTCTTCGTCTTTCTCCTCCCTACTCCATCCTGATTTGCCCTCTCTCAAACAGAACACCTCTGAAGGTTCTCTCCTATATTCATACTCCAGGCAGCACTTCCTCGAGCCCGTTGGCAGTTCGCTACATTCGATCCCAAGCACTCCCTCCCCTCCCACCTGCCTGCCCGCTGACAGATCCCCAAGCTCTCAACAACCATCAACCGTGTGGCTCCCCCGGCAATGTCCCAGCAATGCGTGATGGACTGGTCGTCCGCGGGGTCTTCCTCCCCATCACAGAGCGAGGCTGAGATCTCAGCAGCGGCCGATGAAGAGGCTTGGAACTACTCCCTCTTTGACTTCATCCTCGCTCATGACGCAGCCTCTTCCTTCGACGCCAACGTTTCCTTCGCCCCGGTCAAGAGAGTGCCCAAGGTGCAACCGCACGCCTCCAAGCGCTGGTCGACCCTCGAGCATCAGCGCTTCCTTGTTGCCCTGGACATGTACCATGTTCCCGGGAGGGAGGGTCAAGCGCGAGGAGAGGAGCATGGGTCTGGTCTTGGGCGAGGAGCAGCGAAGAAGATATCTGACTTCGTGCAGACACGATCGGAGGCGCAGGTACGATCACACGCTCAGAAGTACTTTGCTCAGCGCAGGAACCGGAGCTAGGAGTCAGAGCCTTCAACTCTAGATTGCTCACCGTGTGGGGAGACTGCTGGTAAAGAAGATCCTAGCTCTGCCATGGCTACGGCCATACGTCGGCTATAGGGGGAAGTCTATCCCATCGAAGGATCATGACTGGTCAAGGTCATTTCTGAGCACGAAGATCACAAGTTTGCGGAAGTCTTCAATGCCTGGATGACCGGTACTACGCGGCTCCAGAAAAAGTACTGATACGACCTCCTTATTATGTTAGAAGGCCTATCTAAGTATCATGGAGATGTTAGTGAATATGGAGCAGGATGATAGAATGTTGTTGTATGCTCTTGGGGGAAGCAATTAAGCTCCTCCTTATCAAATACAGTATCAGCAAGGCAGTTTTGAAAGTTTCCGGTCTAGACCATAGCGTTCAAAGGTGTCAGAACCATTTTTCTCCTGCCTCCTGCCTCCTGCCTCCTGCCTCCTGCCTCCTGCCTCCTGCCTCCTGCCTCCTGCCTCCTGCCTCCTCCTACAGCACCGCTACCATGAACAATCACGTGAAGTTCTTCAGGTTCCAGATGATGTCTGAACCAGCATGTCGCCCCTTTTAAAAAGATATATTTACTTCAAAATACTACTTGTAAAACCAGGAAAGTATGTTTTTCGACCATCAACCCCCTAAAGGGCTTTTAATAACGAATTATTTTTTGTACTATGAATTCTCTCTATATATAATAAGTGCGTTTAAAAAGTTTTTTAAAAGGTCTCAACTAGCCAGGCTAGCCCGCGCGCGATGGCGGCCGCTGCGCTCCTGGCGCTCTCGACATGCGCGATGAGCGCGAGCGCGTTCGTCATCCAGAGCTCTCCTATGCACAACCTTCACCGAGTCGCTTCTCCTCCATCCCTTGTCTCTTCATCGGGCCGCCTTCATCAGATCGCCATGGCTCCTCGCCTGCATGGCAGGACCAATGGGCACTCGCTAGGCGTAGCGATGTTGGCGGGAGCAGGAGCCTCTGTCGTCAAGCACCAGCAGTCATCACCTGCCCGCCTTGGACCTCACATCAAGATTGGTAAGAAAGGCGCGATCTTGAACCCATGGGGCCTGTGGGTGTTGACCTACTCGATGATCCTGGCATTCGCCGGGTACTTATACTTGAAGGTGCGCCAGGCTCTCTCCTTCTTGTTCTTGGGGAGGCTGAAACCGACGGCGGAGCACTGCTGCTGGATCATGCACTCCTGGTGCAAGATCGTGCTCTCCATCGGCTTTTCAGCGCCTGAGGTAGAGGGTCTGGAGAACTTGCCGCCCAAGGATGAGACGGTCCTGGTGGCTGCGAACCACATGTCATGGTTCGACGTGCCAGTCCTCCATGGCTTCTTGGCAGGGAGATTGCTGTGGTCGTTTGCGAAGGCCGAGCTGGTGAAGGTCCCCGTGCTCGGGACGTACATGCAGACAGCGGAGCACATCCTGATCTCCAGGGAGTCGAGGAAGAGTCAGCTGGAGTCGCTGAAGAGCGCCATCAAGACGCTGTCCCTCAGCAGGAACGTGTTCATCTTTCCCGAAGGGACGAGGAGCCTGGACGGTGAGGCTGCTTGCTCCTGCTGTGGCTGCGCACGTGACGAGGTGCCTTCCAGGGAAGCTGAGGCACTTCAAGGGCGGAGCCTTCACCATCGCGCGCAAGAGCGGCGTTAAGATCGTCCCCGTGACTCTGATCGGCAACGATGTTGTCTTCCCCGCCAACGCTCTGATGCCTCTGTGCCCCGGCAGGGGGATCATGAAGATGGTGAGAGGGAGCGCGCGTTGCCTTTCCTCCCGCTCCTTACAAGGCCCGTGGCAGGTTGTACACCCGGCCATCGACCCAGAGGGGAAGACCGACGAGGAGCTCATGGAGGAGACGAGGGTCGCGATCGCCAGCGCGTTGCCGGCAGAGAAAGTCGCTTCATGATTGTCCTATACTTGAAAAACACAACTCCACCCTCCATCTGCGGCCGACAGCAGTCAACCTGTTCAGCCGTCCTACCTCCCTTGATCCCATCACCCCCCGGCTAACTCCCCGGCCCCTACCCTGACTTGAGCACGGGGAATTCAGTATGAGGAGGATGGTTTCCGAAAGTTCAGCTGGGGAAAGCGATGGCCAGTGCGGCCTCCAGCGGCTACAAGGTGAGAGTACCTCTCCTGAGGAGGCTTCTGAGGTGACTTGGGCGGGCCCTGACCCCCTCCCCTCTTGTCCGCTCTCCTTCCCATCCTGGATGCCTGCCGGCAGTATCAGCAGGGCGGCAGGAGGCTAAGAGGAACTCACATGGTATGCTCTTTCAGCTTTCTCGGTGTTCCTGCCTGTCAGTATTGCGCTCCTCCTCTGTCGCTGCAAGAAGACAGCCCGAGTGTCCAGGAGGTTGTTGAGATCGACTTGTCCTTCCACTGTACAAAGCTCACCAGAAAGAGCAGCTCAAGAGGAAGGAGGGGGAGGGGAAGTGAGGGAGTGAGGGAGTGAGTGAGGGAGGGAGAGTTAGGAAAGGAAAGGAGAAGGGGAGGAGAGAGGAGAGAGCAGGAGAAAGGAAGACGGGGGGAGGGAAAAGGGTGGGGAAGGGAGATTTCAAGCAGGAAGGAGGCTTTCTCTCACCAGGGGCAACGTAGGTCAGAGCGTCAGGGTCCTCTGGTACCCACTCCAGGCACCAAGGGTTCATGCGCTCCATCACTTTCTTAGCGTGAGGGTCGTCTGCTCTTGGCCGTCAGCATCCTCAGCTGTAGAGGAGGAGGAAAATTCGACCGAGCGGATAAGCGCAAGCGATCGCTGAGGAGTTTGCTCGAGGAGGCATCGGGCCGTCCACGCTGACGATGAGTAAGCGGCGCGGTGTAGGCATGCAAAGCAGATTGGCACGAGACAGAAAAAAGGGAGGAGGGGCAGGGGCAGCGAGGAGGGGCGATGAAGGCAGCTGGCGAACAACCGATCTTTTGGGCGGAGGAGGCGACAGGATTGCTTGTGCTGGCGCCAGTGGATGCTGCAAGGAGATCAGTCGAGCATGCGAGATCAAGGGATGTCATGGCTGCCTCAGACAGTCTCCATCGCAGTATGATGCCCTCCCGCACATGGCACACTCGCAGTCAGCAGGTTCGCCGCAGTACCAGCTGCAGAGCAGCGGAGCAGGAGGCTCCTGTCACTTCTCTCTCATAGTCACAGCGGCAGTGCTCACCAGATACTGTCTTCCGGCACAACCTCAGTCCATGGGTACATGGGCCGATTCGATTGCATAGACTCCAAGTTGAACTGAGAGAGTGAGTGAGAGCAGGGCAGGGCAGGGCAGGGCAGGGCTGAACATCCTGACCTCAGGAATGTTCCAGTTCAAACCGACGTCCTCAGTGCAGTTATCCGCAACCTCATCATATTTCCTAGTCAAGTACAGCTGCGTGAGCTTGTCATCAAATTCTTCAGTGTCCATCGTGGAATCTATCGAGCATGTCAGAGAGCAACTGCAGCAGCATGTCATGGGGTGTCTGACCAGTGGAATACAAGCTGTCGACCCCCGAGGTCAGGAGGAGGAGGAGACAGATACGCAAGCCAACTCTCGCCATCGCCACGGATCAGCCCAGCTCGCATAAACAAACTTCCTCTACGTCATGAGCAAGCTCCACGATATGAAAGTGTTCAGCAGTACAATGGCGATGCTGTCTTGAAGCCTCCGCCATAAAATTTTAACATCTGCAAGGTTCTGGTCAGCATAGCCGTATCTCAATCCAGCCGTCCTCCAGCCCTCGATCAACTTTTCACAGCTAGCCATCGCACGAAATGAGTTGATCAAATATCATCATGTTTCTTCCAGAAACAAGCGGAGGAACGATTTCAACAATGAGGATGTGATGGAAGCGAAGCAGGGAAACGCACAAGGAGAACAGACAGGACGAAGGGGAGAGAATATGAGAGAGGAGAGGAGAAGAGAGGAGAGTGGAGAGAGGAGAGAGGAGAGAGGAGATATGGTTGGAGGGCGAGCAAGCATCTGATGCGCCCGATACATCGCCATGGCCACTAGTGGTTTCCCGGGCCGAAGTCCGCGGATGTTGGCAAACCTGAGTTTCAACGCAGGCGGGTCTGGGTGGGTCCTACGCAGGTTCCAAAGGGGGGTACTCAGATGGTTCCAGTCAGGATCCTGTTGGGTCAAACTCGGTACTCCGACGGCGTAAGCGGGATGGCGGCTCGCAGCCGCGAAGATGAGGAGTGATGAAGACAGCAAGAGACCTGACTGAGATAGGAGGACACTGACAGTGACAGCCACGAGGGACATGGCGATTGGCGATGTGATGGAGGGCTTGGACGGGAGTAAGGTTGAGATGTTCTCGTTTGAGAACCAGACACGGGAGAGAGTGCTTGTCTCGCTGTTCGAGGGAGAGAGCTGCGTCCTCAAGGAGAGTTCCTTCATCGAGAGCGGAGGGATGTCGCCCGTGATGGACAGCAGACCCGGTGATGAGATCTACGTGACAGATCCCACTGGGAAGATGCTATTCATGCATGAAGGGAAGGCGGCGACGAAGGGGCAGCAAGAGGAGCTGACGAGGACGTGCTGCAGGGTGTTGACCGCTCTGACAGAGGCAGAGACAATGCTGAGGTTGACTCCGATCCTTGTTGAGCACGCCAATCATTGTCTGGAGGAGTGTGAGGAGATGGAAGAGCTCTTGGGAGCCATGTGCAGCAGAACCAGCTCGGGGGGCGAGTGTGGAAAAGTCGACGAGCGCGAGGAGGGTGGGTGTGGAAAAGTCGACGAGCGCGAGGAGGGAGAGGGAGGGGAGGCATGCTGCAAAGATACCGAGAGGGCGATCGAACAGGAGCTTGAGGTGATTGGAAACGATCTGGTGGAGGTGGGGAAGATTTTCTCAAGCATCGCCTACTTGTACAACGTCAACGGGGAGGAGCAGTTCTCTGTTGAGGACATCGTGAGGTACACCAGGGGACATAACAGTGAATTTCATTTATCAACTGATTAAAGCTCAACAACATACATCTCTATTAGATTACAAGACAGACCTCAATGAGATGGAATTTCTTTTCACACTATCGACATAACATACACAGAGCTTTCTTCCTGACGTTGACATGTCGAGGCAAGCTCATCTTCATCATCTCTGGGCCAGTTCCTTCACAACCTGCTCGTAGTTGCTCTCCTGCTCAGGTGTCAGCGCTAACAAGGCACGAGGGCCTCCACTGCCCGACCTGCAGCAGCCTGCGATAGTTTCCAATGCTCCACCTTCACAGACATCGTAACTTGATAGGCACACTTGGAACAAGGACAAGTCAGAGCTCACATGTCATAGTCGCCTCCTTCGCAGACAAACTTGCGCTGTGCATGCAGCTCGACGAACGTCGGGTCATCGTCTGCAGGAGCAGGAGAGTTCAAGAAGCTGCAGGCGATCGCCGTCTTGCTCACCTTCTTGGAGCGGAACTACACCGTGAGATTGCGAGGTGAAGCCGCAGGTGAGGTAGGCGACGAGCTTGTGCGCGAGCGGACGGAGGGGAGTGTGAGAGAGGAGGATGTAGAGGGCGATGAGAGCAGCCAAGATGACGTGAGGGAAGGTCACTGTCCAGAGTAGCAGAGTCAGCCTGATGCAAGGAGATGCTAGACAGAGGCGCAGACGCAGGGACAAGCAAGAGAGGCGGAGGAGGACGAGGAGGAGGAGGAGGAGGAGAATGGGAGGTGGGGGAGGAGGAGGAGGAGGGGGAGAGCGGGGGAGGAGGGACTCAGGTTCAGAATGGGAGAGAGGAGGAGGAGGCACAAGTCGTGGACATATGGAGGAGGGGCGACCTGAGTTGCTGCCTCGGCTCAAGAAGCTGTAAAGTGCTTGCCTCCCTGTATCTAGACAGATCTGTGCCGACACATCCCAAGCACAGGAGGAGGAGGAGGAGCACGCGACCTTGTCGAGCTGATTGCACTGGACGCCCGAGGAGACGATGACGTTGGGACGGGGAAAGAGAGCCGCTGAGCCTACACACCCGTTGAGGAGGAGGACGATAAACGAGGAGAGGTATGAGGAGGAGGAGGGAGGAGGAGGAGCGAAGAGGAGCGAGGCAGGAGGCAGGAGGAGGCAGGAGGGGCAGGAGGAGGAGGAGGCAAGAGAAGGGAGGAGGGAGGCAGGAGGAGGCAGGAGGCAGGAGGAGGCAGGAGGAGGCAGGAGGCAGGAGGAGGCAGGAGCAGCAGCTAGGATAGAGGAGGGCGAGCTGCAAGAAAAGCAAGAGCGCCGGGACCAGGAGGAGAAGGGATGGGACGAGGGAGCGGTGACGTCACCTGAGTCGCTGGTTGCCGAGTACGTCCAGACAGCGAAGGCGGCATGCAGGAAGACAGCATACTTCATGAGGAGGAAGAACTCCTTGAGCAGCTGAGGGAAACGAGCTCACGAGCCAGAAACCTCCTGGTCCTCTCCTGCTCACCGATGAAGAGTAGAAGGCTGGGGAGCTTGAGAATCGGAGGAGGATGACCTAGAGGAGGGTAAGGGAGATGGAGGATGAAGGGGAGGGGGAGGGGGAGGGGAGGCTGACCTTGTCGCATGCGTATGTTAGGAGGCAGAAGAGAGAAGCGACGAGAAGGAGGATCTGAGGGATGAGGCATCAACAAGAACTGATATTCCCCTGCCCCTTCCTCCTCCTCTCAGAACTCTCTCCCTTCCTCCCCCCCACCCACCGTTCCTCCCTCCCTCCCTCCCTCCCTCCTCCCTTTCTCCCTCCTCCCTTTCTCTCTCCCCCCTTTCTCTCTCCCAGTCTCTGTTCTCTACCGGCATCCCCGAAGACAGGAGCATACAAACGAACAGAACGTTCAGCAGGATGCCCAGCCTGCTGCCTAGCTCGAAGGTCTAGACCAGAAAGTGAGTTATGAGACGGGGAGGGTTGGGAAAGTGAGGATTCAAGTGAGAGAGGATATAGAAGGGGGAGGGAGAGAGAAGAGGGAGGAGAGGGAGAGGAGGACAGAGAATAAGAGGGAAGGTAGAGGAGAACGAAAGGAGGTGGAGCCGGGTGTGCTTACAGCCTCGAGGAAGTGACGGTTGAGCGATCGCTGCGTGATCTTCTGAAGCAGCAGCAGGGGGAGAAAACATCTACGCAGCAAACCTGGAGGAGGACGAGGATGAGCAGGGAGAAGGAGGAGGCGAGGAAGTTACCGTAGAGGATAGGAAGGAGGGGAAGGATTATGTTCACTGCTACATTGAGGAGCAGAGCGACGCCGACGGCAGCATACCATGCAGGGCTGAAGTCTGGGTAGGGGCCAAAGAAGAGAGGAAAGTATTTGAGAAAGTCAGGATGCGACTGTATCCACGCCTGCCATGATGCTATCAGGGGAGACGAGAGTGAGAGAGGGAGAGGGAGAGGGGGAGGGAGGAGGAAAGGGAGGAAGGGGGGGGAGGAGGGAGAGGGAGAGGGAGGAGGGGAGGGAGGAGGGAGGAGGGGAGGGAGGAGGGAGGAGGGGAGGGAGGAGGGAGGAGGGAGGAGGGAGGAGGGAGGAGGGAGGAGGGAGGAGGGAGGAGGGAGGAGGGAGGAGGGAGGGGTAGGGGGAGGAGGAGGAGGAGGAGGGTAGGAGGAAGG